ACCCTAGTGTCGCTGTTTCTAGACTTGTCCACCTCTAATGCATTCCCTGCATTGCAGACAATACTTAATTCAATTCTTATTTAGATTTACCAACATGTTTACCAGTTTCTTTGCTCAGTGTTGCTTCTTCAATTTTATGCCTTCCTCCGGATTAAATCTTTTTCTCCTTCTTTCTCTCTCTTTTTTTTTTCTTGGTGACCGTGGTCTTAACCATTTTTGTGTTCATTTTAGTAGTGTTAAATATATTCACATTGTTGTTGTTCAGTGGATTTCCAGAACTCTTTCATCTTGCAAAACTGAAACTTTGTACCCATTTCTACCTGCCCTCAGCCCCTGGCAACCATCATTCTATTTTCTGTTTCTATGAATTTGACTACTTTAAACCTCTCACATCAGTGGAATCATAGAACATTGTGACTGACTTATTTTCCTTAGTGTGATCTCTTCAAGGTTCATTCATGTTGTAACATCTATCAGAACTTCATTCCTTTTTTAAAAAATTTATTTATTTTTGCTGTGTTGGGTCTTCGTTTCTGTGCGAGGGCTTTCTCTAGTTGTGGAAAGCGGGGGCCACTCTTCATCGCGGTGCGCAGGCCTCTCACTATCGCGGCCTCTCTTGTTGCAGAGCACAGGCTCCGGACGCACATGCTCAGTAGTTGTGGCTCTCGGGCCTAGTTGCTCCGCGGCATGTGGGATCCTCCCAAACCAGGGCTCGAACCCGTGTCCCCTGCATTAGCAGGCAGATTCTCAACCACTGCGCCACCAGGGAAGCCCAGAACTTCATTTCTTTTTAAGGTTAGATGATATTCCATTGTGTGTATGTATGTGCCACATTTTGCTTATCCATTCATCCATTGATGGACAGTTGGGGTGTTTCCACCTCTTGGCTATTGTGAATAATGGGCTATGAACATAGGTGCACTAAATTTTCTTCTTGAGGTACAACCTTTAGTATTTCTTCTACTAGGGAACTGTCTAGGGGTAAGCTCTCTTTTTTTCCTTCTTTTTTTTTTTATTGAGGTACAGTTGATGTACAATATTATACAACATAGTGATTCACAATTTTTAAAGGTTATATTCCATTTATAGTTACTATAAATATTGACTATATTCCCTGTGTTGTAAGATATATTCTTGTAGATTATTTATTTTATATGTAGTAGTTTGTGCCTCTCAATCCCCTACCCCTCTCTTGCCCCTCCACCCCTTCCCTCTCCCCACTGGTAACCACTAGTTTTTTCTCTATATCTGTGAATCTGTTTCTTTTTTGTTAGATTCACTAGTTTGTTGTATATTTTAGATTCCACATGTAAGTGATATCATACAGTATTTGTCTTTCTCTGTCTGAGTTATTTCACTTAGAATAATACCCTCCAGGTCCATCCATGTTGTTACAGATGGCAAAATCTTATTCTTTTTTAGGGCTGAGTAGTATTCCATAGTGTGTGTGTGTGTGTGTGTGTGTGTGTGTGTGTGTGTGTGTATCACATTTTCTTTGTCCATTCATCTGTTAATGGACACTTTGGTTGCTACCATATCTTGGCTATTGTAAATAATACTGCTATGAACATTGGGGTGCAAGTATCTTTTCTAATTAGTGTTTTCATTTTTTCTTTTTTTTTTTTTTACTATATATCCAGGAGTGGAATTGATAGGTCATATGGTAGTTCTATTTTTAGTTTCTTGAGAAACCTCCATACTGTTTCCATAGTGGCTGCACCAATTTACAGTCCCACCAACAGTGCAGGAGGGTTCCCTTTTCTCCACACCCTCTCCAGCATTTGTTATTTGTAGAGTTTTTAATGATGTGTTTGCCCCTTTAAAAAAATCTCCTTCTCCCAACCCTCCAGGGTATCCATCTTCCTAAAATATATATTTATCATACCTTTATCTTTCTATACTTTTAACACATATCTACTTTGTTTAAAATCTGTTTTTAATGTTGCCTGTTTTTACTTTTTATATATGTGGTAGAATTATACAGTTCTGTGATTTCCTTTTTGCCTCTATATTATATATTTTTAGACTCATACATGTTAACATGAGTATGAATGTAAGTAACGCTCATACATGCAGTTGAAGTCCATTAATTTTCACTGCTGTGTAGTTCTTCATTGTTTAAATAAACCACAGTGATTTATATGTTCTAATATTGATGATATTTGGGTTGTTTCTCAGTTTTGTTATTTCATCAATATTGTTACGCACATTTCTCATACATTTCTATATCTGCACCCATGCAAGATTTTCCTTAGAGTTTTCATCTTTGAGGAATTACCAGAATGTAGACTAATGTTAGATAGAATATACCCAATCCTATAAGGCAATGCTAACAGTTTTCTGTGATCATGACCTTTTGATTTTAAGTTACATTTTTCTGAACATTAATGATGTTGATCTACTTTTTATATGTTTGGGGGCCATTTGTGCCTCCTTTTCTTGCCTAGAGTAGACTGGGTAATGCCCCCCAAGATATGCACATCCCAATCCCCAGAACCTGTGAATGTTGCCTTATATGAAAAAGGGACTTTGCGAATGTGGTTAAGGATATCGTGGGACTTTCTTGGCCGTCCAGTGGTTAGAACTCTGCGCTTCCGCTGCAGGGGACATGGGTTCAATCCTTGATTGGGGAAATAAGATCCTGCATGCCACTAGGTGTGGCAGGAAAAAAAAAAAAAAAGTTAAGGATCTCGAGATGCGGACATTTCCACGGATTGTCTGGGTGTGCCCAATGAAATCACAGGGTTCTTTATAAGAAGGTGGCAGGCAGTCCCGCCAATAACTCACCTTAAATATAAATTCACACATAGTTTAAAAGTAAAAGGATGGGAAAATATACTTAGCTAACACTAATCAAAAGAAAGCTTGAGGGCTTCCCTGGTGGCACAGTGGTTGAGAATCTGCCTGCCAATGCAGGGAACACAGGTTTGAGCTCTGGTCCAGGAAGATCCCACATGCTGCAGAGCAACTAAACCCGTGCGCCACAACTACTGATCCTGCTCTCTAGAGCCCATGAGCCACAACTACTGACACCATGTGCCACAACTACTGAAGCCCACGCACCTAGAGCCCGTGCTCCACAACAAGAGAAGCCACCACAATGAGAAGCCCGTGCACCGCAACGAAGAGTAGCCCCCGCTCACCACAACTAGAGAAAGCCCGTGCACAACAACAAAGACCCAACACAGCCAAAAATAAACAAATAAAGTAAAATAAATTTTAAAAAAAAGAAAGCTTGAGGGACTATATTAATATCAAATTAGGTTTCATAGCAAAAATATTACCAGGGATAAAGAGGTCATTCCGGTATTATAAAGGGGTCAGTTCATCAAATCCTAAGCATTTATACACCTAATAACAGAGTTAGGTGACTAGCAACGAAACAAGTTTCAGAAAGGTTGAATCACTTGTGAAGGCCACTCAGGCAGTAAGTAGAAGAGGCAGGATGGGAACCAAGGGTGAATCTAGGGTCCAACTCTTTCCCCCTCTCAAGGAGGAGCCACTGAGTCAGGTGCCTACAGCACCTCTTTGCTGACAGGCATGTGATCACCTCCTTGGAAACAGAGAACTGTGAGCCCGCCATTCGGGGCTATGCAGACAGTCTGGCCGCAGTGACCAAAGTCCTTGACTACTTGTCTGTAATAGGGGTGGGAAGTGGGGAGATACACAGGACTCGGAGAATAGGCACATTTTTCAAAGTTGCCTGGATTTCTCCTGATTCCTCAATGGCTCCATTTATAAATGTCCACAGTGCCTGGGTCAGTGTGGGTATCAGGGCAGGAGGTTAAGGTTGGTGCTGGAGCCTGGGGGAGGGGGCTTCTGCCTAATTATTTCTAAGCTTCTGACAGGACCCTAAAACACCAAGACAAACTTCTCTTTCACAGTAAGTTTCTGAGGATTGGTGCCAGGAAAGAAGCCCCCAAGGGTCAAGAGAACTCTCCTCCCACTTCTTTATTCCACCAAACAAGGCCCTCTTTGTCTCCCCTCCTCCCAGCAGATGAGACCAGGCTCCTCCCACAGCCATATGTTGACGAAAAGTGCCAGGACCTGGAGCAGCAGGGTGCCTGGGGTGCAGGGGTCACCCAAGGCTGGGGAGCATCTCTGTACCCTCATGGTGATGGGGGGAGAAATCTTTCTTCCCTCCCTCCCTCCCTCTTTCCACAGCTGGATGTGTCTATCTGCTTCGGGAGAGAGAGACACCACCAGGAACGAGGATTGAGAAGGAGTCGTGTTGCCGAAATTGGGCATCTGTACACCAGTGCCGGGTTAAATCTCAGAGACAGAGTTTTGGGTGAAGTAGAAAAGAATAGCTTTATTGCTTTGCCAGGCAAAGGGGCCAGAGCGGGCTAATGCCCTCAAAACTGTGTCCCTCCCTGGAGGGGGTAGTGAGGAGTCTCACAGTGTTCTAGGAGCAGGGCGTGGTCAACTCGTGGACATTCTTCTGATTGGTCGGTGGTGAGGTCATGGGGAGTCAGCATCATCAACCTTCTGGTTCCAACTGGTCTAGGGTCTACCTGTGTGGTCAGCACAAGGTTAACTTCTTCCACCTGGAGGGGGTTTCAGTATCTGCAAAACAGCTCAAAGGACATGGCTCAGAATATTATCTATAGCCCTTGAGGAAGAACTAAAGGTCCTTGACTTTGTTTAATGGCTAAAGTATTATTAGTTTGTCTTGCTTGACTGTTTTTCTTTCTTTCTGCATTTTCTCACTTCTCTGATTAAATTTATTCGTTGACTAAAGTTTTTCTACAGACAAAAGGCAGGCGGAGGACATGGGGGTGGGGGCGTTATTCTGGAAACGCCTCATAGGGCCCTGCTCAGTTACAGTCAGTAGAAGGAAAGTGTCAGAACAAAAAGAAAAACAGGCTTCCCTGGTGGCGCAGTGGTTGAGAGTCCGCCTGCCGATGCAGGGGACACGGGTTCGCGCCCCGGTCCGGGAAGATCCCACATTCCGCGGAGCGGCTGGGCCCGTGAGCCATGGCCGCTAAGCCTGCGCGTCCGGAACCTGTGCTGCGCAACGGGAGAGTCCACAACAGAGAGAGACGCGCGTACGGCAAAAAAAAAAAAAAAAAAAAAAAAATCTCCCCAGAGAATCGAATTCGACAGCACTGGGCCGGGGATACTACGTGACCTGGAGAGAAGGGAGATAAGCTAGTCCTGGGCCCATCGTTGCATGACAATCTGAAGGTCACAAAAATATAAGCCAGTACTTTTTACATTAACTATATTTCAATGAAAAAAGAAAGAAAGAGATTCTATTCAGCCGACTCAGGAGTGCCCACCGAGCTGATTTCCCTCTCCCAGCCCACCGATAGGCTCCTCTTGTGGCTAAACGGGATATTACCTCTAAGAGTCTAAGAAACACCAACCCAAGTGTCAATGCCGGGTTTGGACCTTACTAAAGTGAAGGTGTGTGGTGTCCCCCACAAGAGCTCCAGGAGGCCTGCAGTGAGGGCTGGATCATCCTGACTGTTTTCCCTGGAACGGTGGACCTGGTTTCCTAAGAGTGCACTGACATATCCATGGCTGGGGTGCACTCAGGTGGGTTGATCAGCTTAGCACACAAAGTACCCCCGACACACACTGCCAGCAGAGAATCAGATGCAGGCAGGGGAGGGGCGTGAGACCATCCCCTGGGGCAGGTGTTTGTCAGACTCTGGAATTGAACTCTACTTGCAAGCCAATAAATTAGCCTGTTATGTTTCATGGATGTGACAGAAGACAGGACAGCTCCGGAACACAGACAAAGAACTGATGATTATGGCACAGCAAGCAGCATGGCTCCTAAATCCCAGACAGTGACTCCACCGGACCCAGGTGCTAGGCTTGGAGGGAACACAGAGCTTGGGGAATGACAGCGAGCTGGCACAAGCCTGATCTTTTTCCAGAGGGGATCAATACCTCATCCCTGGAGGTGGCTCCATGAAGTACCCTGAGAAACAGCCTGGGTAAAGATAACACAGGACTTTGCATTGTCGAGACGCCCAGAACGTGCAGCGAGTTCAAAACCCATGGCAGATTGCCCCTCCCAACAGCACCCTCCCCAGCTCCTTGTCCCCAACCCCCACCTCTATGCCAGATTGGCCCACTGTCCACACGAGCTGATTGCTCATGCTGGTGAGGCAGGACTGCATCATGTTAGCATGTTAGCAATGATGCTAACACACTGATCTCTGGTTGCTCTCATGGGCGTGGGACGCAGGACGGGTTCAGGATTCTGGGCTATAGCAGCCCACAGCTCTACCCTTCTGTGTGAGTTTGGAGGTGGCGGGGAGAACCTGTGAGGTGCCCCCTCCAATCCACAGCACCCCAGGGCAGTGAGGGTGGCAGCTGGTGTCCAGCAACCTGGACGCCCAGCAACCTAGACACCCCCCTCTGTTTCTCAGATCAGGCTGGGGAGCGGGGAAAGCACCTATCTTTGTAGCTGGGCTTTCCAGATGAATTAAGCAGAGGAACATCCTCACTTGCAGTGATCAGTGTGGTGACTCAGTGCTCTCCTGGCCAGGCATAGCCATGAGGGTTATTATTGACTGCTCTTCTTGCTGCCCCCTTGGCCCTCCCCCTCCTCCTCCTCAGCCATATGGTTGGTGAGGTGTGGCTCAGGGTCCCCCTGTCTCTTGGGGATCCCCCTCCACCAAGGGGAGGGAGGGTCCTCCCGTAATTGGACAGCCCCCTCCAGCCCCTCTCACTGGCCCTGGAAAGCTCCAGGTGGTCCATGAGGCACAGGAACAGAGCAATGGGTCATTCTGTTTCTGTAGCCCCTCATGGGGGGGGCGTTGAAGAAATTTCCCAGAAACTATAGTAAAAAAAAAAGAAATAGAAAGTAGGAGAAAAGAGATTTTAAAAATTAACCTGGCTGGCAGGTTCAACAGCTACACAATAGGAGTTCCCTAAAGAAAGAATTGAGGAGGAATAGACTCATATCTTGCATTCCAAAATGCTAGAGAAAAAAATCAATTTTTTTACAAGCTTCCAGAGGGGACAAAAAAAAACAGGTCACATACTAAAGAATCAGAAATCAGAATGTCTCCAGACATTTCAAGTGTACCAATGAAAGCCAGAAGATGACAGAGAGATGCCTCAACTTCTGAAGAAAATAATTTCTAACCTAAACTTCTATACCTAGCCAAACTGTCACTCAAGTGTGAGGGTATAATATAGACATTTTCAGATATACAAGCACTCTAAAAATTTACCTCCAGAAGCTTCTTGGTAATGTGCTCCATCGAAATGAAAAAGTAAACTAAGAGAAGAATATATATATGGTATAGAGGACGTAGAAGGTGCCACACAGGTAAGAGATGGAATTCCCAAGATGAGGATGATGAAGGGAGATCCCAAGTGTGGAGAGCAACCTGTCTAAACCTGAGATTTCTGAATGTCTTGTGATGAGATTAATATGACTGGTGAGAAGCTTGCAGTTGAATAAGAACATCGAAAAGTAAAAACTATTAGCTCCATTGAAAATAAAAAGTTGTGTGGGAAAGTAAAATGATTATAGTTTACTACACAGCAGAGGTGTGACTATATTACAGAGTCACAATAATGAAAATAATGACGATCTAACCTAAATTGTCATATAAGGTATTTATGTTGGGAGGATGGATGATGGGAAATGGATGTGTGTGGTGGTGGAGGCTGGGAAAGGATGAAGGTAAATCATCATCTTCCAGGAGATTGACTTTATAATGAAATATCAAGAAAGCATTTTATTTAGAGACATGGAGGTAAGTATCTACAAAATAACCAGCTAAAAGATATGAAAGATATGAAAAGATATGAAAAATAGTCACGTGAAATATAAAGAAAAAATATTTTGGAAACCATATTACTTTTTGCATAAACCAAGCATTGGAAAAAAATACTTATGGTCTTAAGCAAAGAATTTTTACTGGAACATAATTAACAGAAAAAGGAAAGAATTGTGAAAAGGTCATGTAATTGGAAGTAATTGTGTGGAAATTTATTTAAAACAAAAAATGTGGCTCACACTTTGCTGTACAGCAGAAATTAACAGAACATTGTAAAACAACTATACTCCAATAAAAATTAATTTAAAAAAACGTGGCTCAAGCCTCAACTGCTTTTATAGCTTTATAGGATAAAATGATAAAAACGAAACATTAAATTTTTTTAAAAACAGAGATGGAAGTGATGTCGTGAACGAAGCAGGAAATGAAGCCAGACCACCTGACTGTGTACGGGGTCCAGAAGGCCATACATTCAGGGTCTCACACCTTCCAGGGAATGTTGGGTTGAAAGCTCTGGAGTAAAAACACAAATAAAAAAACAAAGAAGGGTAGCACTCTGGAGGTATGCCTACAATGGACAGATTCAACACGTTCAACAAAGAAATCCCAGCCTGAGTCCCTTTGGACCCTGCAGCCCCAGACACCCATCAGAAGTGGGAATCGGAGAGCAGCTCAGTGAAGTGGCTGAGGGCTGCCTGGAGGAGGAGTGCCCTGAGATGCTCAGAGGGATCACCTACTACCTGGACTAAGTGTTCACTTCTTCTTATGTTCTACTCATCAGCATTGAGCAAAAGAAGGGCCAAGAAACCTTGAGGAAAGGGGACATAGAGGGTGCATGACTCAGTGGAAGAGAAGGAGGAAGGCTTAGAGGTGTGGAACAGTGTGCCTCAGAATCCTGCTTAACCCACCAAAAGTACTCTCAAAAGCTGTAGGTTCAGGACAAGGTTGGGGACAGGGAAGGACACTGTCAGCCCACTCCTGAGACTCAAGAAAAGGGCCTAAGTCTGGATTCTGTCCTTGTCCTGAGCTCCCCAGGGAGACACTGGCCTGGATAAGCCCCATGGTTCTATAATTCTCACTCATGGTAGTATTTTTTTCTTACCCTGTATTTGGTGGACAATACGTGGAAATGCTGTCTTTAATAATTAGTCATGGAAGAAGAACCAAATAACTCAGAAGGAAGTAACACAGCCAGTGATATTTCAAAGCAACTTCTGACCTTTGAACAAATAAAGAATAACACGTGACAGGAGAAAAGTTTCAGATCAACGAGGAGACGTAGAGTCCACTTGAACAGTCCACGTGAACAGTCCAGGGATGAGGCAATGTGAGATCTGCCCCACTTACAACAGGAGAGATGGGCAAGGGGGAGAAAACCTCAGAAGACCTGAGCCCTGGCCAGGTGTGGGGACAAGGAGAGGGCACAGAGCCACTCGGACACCTAGAGAAACTTCCTGGAGGGGCTCAGACTTCAGGGGAAGCCTAAGACAGCTTGCCAAGAAGAGGTTAAAAAGATTGTTCCTGGGCTTCCCTGGTGGCGCAGTGGTTGAGAGTCCGCCTGCCGATGCAGGGGACATGGGTTCGTGCCCCGGTCCGGGAAGATCCCACATGCCGCGGAGCGGCTGGGCCCGTGAGCCATGGCCGCTGGGCCTGCGCGTCTGGAGCCTGTGCTCCGCAACGGGAGAGGCCACAACAGTGAGAGGTCCGCGTACCGCAAAAAAAAAAAAAAAAAAAAAATTGTTCCTGACCAGTCGGGTGTGAGACAGCTGAGATGTGAAGGTGGCAAGGTCCCGACAAGGGAAGCAACCCGAGGGTGGGGCGGGGCCATGGGCATCGACTGGGCACAGCAGGGAGGAAGAAGGGGTCCAGAGAGCCAAATGTGGGTCCTGCCATGGTCACCTCCTGCCCACCTAGCAAAGACCCACCAACAGATTCCCTGCGGGCAGGACCAACTTCCAGTGCAATCTGAGGATGTCCCCCCCGCCAGGAGAGGCTCGTTGCCACAAATTATCTCCTTCTCGACAGTTCCTCAGTCCCTAAGTACTACCTCGGCTCTCTATGGAGGATTTCTCTGGGGATCGTTCACCAGGGGATTGGAGGGATGGCATGCTCCGAATTAGGCAGGAGACACCAACCGGGTATAGGACTTAAATACATTCTCTGCTAATGCTCTCTTCAATTCAGCTGAATGCTGCTTTTCAACCTCGTTTCTCACTAGAACTGGCTGTTCCAGCCAAATAGACCTTGTTGTTTGTCGTCATCACACATTTTTAGTGTTTTCACTCTCTTTCCTTTGTTCATTTAGTGGTGAATTCATTCAAGAATTCTATATTGAGTATCTGTTTTCTGCTTGGTACTCTAGTAAGCACTGGAGACCCAGTAGAACAAGGTAGGTACAGCCCCTTCCTGCGTGGAGGTTACCCCAATTCTACTTACTGAAACAACCCTCACTGTTAAGGTCCAGCTGCAATCTCACCTCCTCCCACGACCGCTTCCATGATAACCAATTCCAACATGCACTCTTTTCATGCTGAGATTTCTTTCAGATAGAAATATCAGGGGAGATTTCAAGAAGAAGTCTGAGTGAAGCCTATCTGTACATCGTCTGAGGGTGTCACAAGAGATCCCAGACCACCCATCACTGAGGCTTTTTTTTTTTTTCCTTCCCAAGTGAAAAGAAAGAGAAAGAAAAGTAAAGAAATCAAAGCTGGGACTATCTGAGGGAAGAGCATTTGGGGCAGAGGGCACAGCAAATGCCAAGTCCTGGGGAAGGAAACATCTAGGTGTTTGAAAGACAGAATAAAGACGAGTGGGGCTGGACCATTGTGAACAAGAGGAAAGCCCTAAGAGAAGATGTCGAAACCAGATCACGTCGGACTTTGTAGGCCTTGGAAAAGAGTTTCTACTGCAAATGGAACTCCTGGTGGGTTTTAGCCAAGGTGGCAATATGATTTGATTTAAGTTTTTAAAATATCCCTTCGGCTGCTGTGTGAACTGACCACAGTGATGCAAGGAGGGAGATCAGGAAAACAGATCCAGGCCCCAGTGAAGGGCTTGGACCAGAGTGGCAGCAGTGGAGAAGGTAGTAAGCAGCCAGATTAGGATATATCCTGGAGATCAAGCCTACAGGACTTGCTGATGGATCTGCGAGCACTGGGTTTGCTGATGGGCTGCATACGAGCTGTTGGGGGGAAGGGACCACTCAAGTGTGCATCCCAGGTTTTTGCTCTGAGCCACTTCCTGCAGCCCCACCTCTGCAGGCTGTCACGTTGCACACGGGCTTCCTGTCTCAACTTCCTTTGATGGAAGCCCGGGCCTGGACTGTGGCAGAGATGATGCTGTGTGTCCACCAAGCCAATCCATTGTCTTCCTGGATACACAGGATGGCCTCAGTCCCCAGGCCCCGGACATCTAGGCAGGGCCATACGTCTCGGTCACTAATTGTGAAGTAAGTGAGAAACACACCTTTATTTTAAGCCTGTGAGATGCAGAAGGGTTTTTTTTTTGATAACTCGGTTTGTCTTTCACGATTAATGCATGGACTTTCTTCTATTTTCTGTGCCCACCCTCTCCTAGGATTTTCACTCCATTTCCATGGATTTGAAGCCATCAATCTGCTGAAAGCTCTCAAATTTGTATCTTCAGCCTAGGTGGCTGGATTAATATCCCCGACAGCAGGAGAGCTCCAGGAATTGGAAATACTTTCTACCGGCGAGGTTAATAACTGCTATTGATCATTCTTAAACAAAGTGGCCCAAACTGAAGCGACCCAACTGAACTTTTCCCTGAAGCCCCCTTGGCAGGTATCTCCTCATGCCCCTGGCTTCCCCAGAAGGGGCAGAAGGAGAGAAGACAACCCCCCCTCCCAGGTAGCCTCATTTTATTTTATTTTCCTCTTCCCCATATGGAGGTTAAAGTTCATCATAACTCTGAAGTACTCAGCACAGGATCAGCCCGATGACTCAAGGCCCCTAGGGTTTTCCTTTACGCAGTTACTTCCTAAATTTTCTCACATCCTCACATTGCAGCTCCTTGGTTGTTTATAGGAGATGAGCCTCTGCCCCACACACTACCTTCTAGTGGGTTCTCTTCCCGCCGGGCAAATGAGTCAGGGTGAGCAGCCTTGGAAGCTGGGGTGAGGGGCACTTTCTACCTTTCTCTATCTCCACCCTGAGTTATGAAATCTCTACGATGTGACTCTAACTTTGGGAGATCATCGCCCCCTTGAGAATCTGATGAAATGAGTTGGCCCCTGTAGCAGATGCCTTTGGTAACCTGCCCATAACCTGTCAGCACCCGACGTTCTTGTACATGACTGTATTAGTTTCCTAGGGCCGCCGTAACAGAACACCACACGATGGGTGGCTTAAAAAACAGAAATTTATTTCTCCCAGTTCTGGAGGCGAGAAAGCTGAGATCAGGTGTTGGCAGGGTTGGTTTCTCCTGAGGCCTCTCTCCTTGGCTTGCAGACGGCCATCTCCCTGTGTTGTCACGCAGTTGTCCCCCTGTGCACGCACACCCTGGTGTCTCCTGTGTGTCCAACTTTCCTGTTCTTATAAGGGCACCAGACAAATTGGATTAGAGCCCACCCTAATGGCCTCATTTTAACTCAATTACCCCTTTAAAGGCCCTATCTCTAAGTACAGTCATATCCTGAGGTACTGGGAGTTAGGGCTTCAACACATGAATTTGGGGGAACACAACTCAGCTCATCACATTGCCCTTGGATTGCAAACTTCTGCTTCTCTGCTCTGGGCTGATGCTTATTTTACACATTGCAAAACTATAAAGGCCTTCTGGGTAACAGTATGTCTTCTTAAGGATTCCAAGAAATGGAGAATTAAGTCCTAAACATCTGCAGTTTAATATAGGAAATTAACCTATTTAAATATGTTGTGATTTCTGACACAGTTAAATTGATTGCTTTCATCTCATCTTCTGTTTCCTAGTTACTGTGTTTTCTTGTTACTTCAAATGTACCATGTGTGAGACACGCAGCTTAGGACATGATGGTCAGCGTGACAGGCACAGCCCCTGCCTTTGCAGCACCTGCAATCTTGCAGAGCTGTATTCAGGAACATTCTTCGGTGCCACTTCTCTTTAGGAACCAGGGTCAGGGCTCTCCCAGCTCTCCTGACTCCAGCTGTCAGGCATCTCCCATCTTCCTCTCCACCCCTCTGGTTAAGAGGACCAAACACTGCCAGGTTGCAGTGGCTTGAGCAGTGATGGTGGGGCAAGACCTGGAGATAGTCAGTGCTCACAGGGCTTTTTTCTGGAAGGCCTAAGAATTGAACAGTGGTAGACAGCAGGGACAAAGAGGTGACACAGAGGAAACTTAGGAAGGTAACCGGGGGCTGTGTTCCTTCCTGCCGCCCAGGGCCCCTCCATGCCCTGGGCTCTAAGACCTGCCATTGCTATGATCAGAGCCTCGCCCAGGGCACTCCTCCCAGGCATCACCTCCTTGCCTCCACACTGGCTTCGGAGTGATTCTCCAGCCCCACCCCTTGCTCAGGAAACCATGTTTCTGCTGCTTCTCAAACGCAGGCAGGAGGAGGACTGCCTCCAGCTGCTGGTCTTTCCTCCGAGGGGGAATGGAAAGCAAAGAGACAGACACAGCTGTGGCTGGAAGCAGGGCCCGGGGGAGAGCTGGGGTTCAGGTGGGCTCTGGCCAGAAGGCTCTTTTCTCTGCGCTTCTACCTGTGGACAAGCCCTTGCTGGGGCCTCCAGGTGAGTGACACGGTCAGAGAGCAGCCAGGGGAGGGTGCCCAGGACGGGGCAGTTCACCACGTAGCCGCCCCTCATTGGCATTCCTTCTCACATCTCTCACCCTCTCTCCCCATGGTCACCAGGCTTGTGAAAGGCCCTTAGTGAAGCCATGCGACAGTTTTGCAACGTTTACATATTTTAAAAATCTGTCCCCGGAGCCACCGCTGTGAGTACCCCCAACGCCACCCCATCGCTGACCTTGATTTTGCCTTTCCCCACCCTAAGGGGGGGAGGGTCCCTCTCTCTGCTCTGTAAACAGAGCCAGAGCCTCTAAATCTTGCTTTATCAACAAGTCCAGCTCCTTGGCAAGATGTCACCCTTCCTGCCTGTGCACACTCCATGTCCCCAGTGGGCCGTGGAGTATGTGGTTTCAGGCTCACACGTGACGGAGAGCCTGGGGTCCATGGCTGGGAGGGAGGAGCCTGGGTTCCCAGTGTGGGTGCGTGCCCTCGTGGCCGGGAGCACCGGGGCAGGATGCTGTCCTGGGAAGAGGGGAAGGAGGAACAAATGCTTGGGCTGCATCTGTGCAGAGAATTCACTGGGAGACCCGGAGCTCTGAGAACCAGGGGAGTGTTTAGTCTAAGGCACGGGAGGCCTCCCAATCAGGAAAAAATCGTGGTATGTTGTGCATAACAGGACAGGGGAGAGTTCTCAGAATTTACGAGAAAAGCTCAGTCTAGACTGTTTCCTGGGTTCTGTTGTGCTGCCTTCTCCCCCTTCCTTCCTCTCCTCCAAACCCCCAAGCCATGCAGCCAGCTCTGGGCACCTCAAAACTCAGATGCCGGGGATCCGGCCGGGGCTGGGTGGTTGCAGCACTTTTCCTGATGGGGGAGAGGATGGGATTTGGAGCTCCTGGGAGCTGCTCAGATGCCCGACACACAGAAGAGGCCAGGCCCCTCTGTGTTAAGTCCCAGGCCTCGGAAGAAGGTGGGATTAGGAGACGGAGTCTGCGGCAGGGGCCAGGCAGAGAAAAATGATGGAATTACAACATTGCCCTTGCCGCCCTCAAGGGACCACAGGGATGAAGGAGCTCTCACCGCCCTGGGTCTTTCTTCTCTTTGTGAGGTTCCCGGTGTGTGAATGCTTTCAAATAAACAACGGGGTTTACAGCAAAAGCATCGCACTCCTTTAAGTTAGGCGTGAACCTTCCGTATTGGTCTCCCATTTCCACTTTGCTGTCCCGCAGGTGCCTCCGAGGCTCACGGCACCTGCTGAGGGGGCGGTTAGCTTCTCTGGACCCTTGAGCACGCAATCCTCACGTGCGGGGTCTTAAAACTCGTAGTGCGGGTCAGTCACAGTTCTTTCTTAGGCTAATGGACCGCAGCTGCGGCTTTCAGGATGCTCAGCGGGAAAGGCATTTTCGTCCTAGGATGCAGGCTCAGTTGCAGGTTCAAGTTATCGCCAGGAGAGGGCACTGTGTGTCCAGCTAACGGGCTCGGAGAGGTTCTCCCAGCAGCTCTTAAGAACCTGCAGGGCTTTGGCCGGGAGCCCTGGGTGAGAGGAGAGAGGAGGGCATCTCTCTTCCACTGTATTTGTTGATTCCTTTTATAATTATGGGATCATCTCACTCCGTTTTCACACCTATTCCCCAGCATTGCCACCTGGATGTCCTGAAGACGTCTCAGAATCACGAGTCCCAGTTCCAGCATGATCTTCCCCACTCCACCCCACCCCCAAAGAAAACCAAAACTACTTTCCCTCTTCACCGTCCTCCTCCTCTTCTACCTCCTGATCCTTCTCCTCTGGGTTTCTCCTTCCAACCACCCAAGCTAAGGTTCCTGTCCCTTCCCTTTCAGCCCCGGCAGCCTAGATGTCACCAAATTATGCTCTGACTCGGGCCCTTTTCTCCCGCAGACTGCTCCTGTCTTGCTGCACCTCCATCAATTATTCACAGCCCTCACAAGTCTGTCTCCTTTCCTAACATGCTCGATGCTCTGACAACACAGGTAAGATCACGTCATTTCTCTCTTAAATGTCAAGATGAGGTGGAAACAACCCAAGTGTCCATCAAAGGGTGAACAGATAAACAAAATGTGATCTATCCAAACAATGGAACATTATTCAACTTTAGAAAGGAAGGAAATCCTTACTCATGCTGCAACGTGGATGAACCTGAGGACATTCTACTAAGGAACAGAAGAGCTCGGCTTAATCCAGAACTGGCTGTTGGACCCAGAGACTTCTTGTCTGACTTACTTCACTTAACATAATGCCCTCAAGATCCCTCTATGTTGTCAAAAATGGCAGGATGTCCTTCTTTCTCATGGCTGAATAATCCCATATACCAGAAGAAGATAGATATCGCATCGTCTTTATCCATTTATCCCTAGATGGACACTTAGGTTGTTTCGGTATTTTTACTATGGCAAATAATGCTGCAATGAACAGGAATGCAGATATCTCTTTAAGATCCTGATTTCATTTCCTCTGGATATCTACCCAGAAGTGGGATTGCTGGGTCATATCGTAGTTCTATTTTTAATTTTTTGAAAAACCTCCATACTGTTCTCCATAGTCGTACCAATTTATATTCCCACCAATAATGCACCAGGTTCCCTTTTCTCTACATCCTCACCAGCTTTTGTTATCTCTTGTCTTTTTGATAACAGCCATTATAACAAATGTGAGGTGATATCTCATTGTCTTTTTTTTTGGCTGCATTGGGTCTTCATTGCTGTGCGCGGGTTTTCTCTAGTTGCAGCAAGTGGGGGCTGCTCTTCTTTGTGCGCAGGCTTCTCATTGCAGTGGCTTCTCTTGTTGCGGAGCACGGGCTCTAGGCTTGCGGGCTTCAGTAGTTGTGGCACACGGGCTCAGTAATTGTGGCTCGCGAACTCTAGAGTGCAGGCTCAGTATTTGTGGCTCACGGGCTTAGCTGCTCCGCGGCATGTGGGATCTTCCCGGACCAGGGCTCGAACCCGTATCCCCTGCATTGGCAGGCGAATTCTTAACCTCTACGCCACCAGGGAAGCTCCTCATTGTCGTTTTGATTTGCACTTTCTGGATGATTGGTGATACTGAGCATCTCTTCAAGTACCTGTTGGCAATTGGTATGTCTTCCTTGGGAAAACGTCTATTCAGGTCCTCTGTCCATTATACAATAAACAGATTATTAGGTTTTTGATGTTAAGTTGTATTAAGTTTCTTATACATTTTGGATAGTAGCTCTTTATTAGATAGATGGTTTGCAAATATTTTCTCCCTTTCCATAGGCTGCCTTTTCATTTTGCAGATTTTTTTCCCCTGAGCAGTTCTTTATTTTGATGCAATCCTACTTATTTATCTTTGCTTTTGTTGCTTGTGCTTTTGTTGTCATCTTCAAAAAATTGTTGCCAAGACCAAAGTCATGGAGCTTTTTCCTTGTGTTTTCTTCATTAGTTTCATGGTTTCAGGTCTTATATTTAAGTCTTTAATCCATTTCAAGTTAGTTTGTGTGAGTGGTAGAAGATAGGGGTCCAGTTTCATTCTTCTGCAGGTGGTAATCCAGTTTCCCAGCACCATTTACTGAAGACACTCTCCTGTCCCTACTGAGTCTTTCTGATGAGAGGCAGCCCCGGGCAGCAGAAAGTGAACTGACTGTGGTGGCACAGGTCCAGGTTCTGAGACACTCTGTCAGTGAGAGGCCCTGAGCCCTGAGCCACGGAGAACTTTCTCCATGTTGTTTCCTCCTCCTCTGCGGGGAGCTAGGATGAAAACCCACTGTGCTCCAAACTCTTAGCTGAAACAGGCCTGAATACATTTAAGGGGAGTTTCTCTTGCACATAAAAGTTCTGGATTTGATTTCCAAGTTGTTTCTTTCGATTCACTTTGCTGCCCCTGGAGTGGGGCACACGCCCTGGGAGACGAGGTCTTGCCGGGTCTGGCCCTGGTCCTCTCCCGCCATCTGCGATTCTGGCGAACCACTGAGGTGTGGGGCCTCCTGGGTCCTAGAGAGGACGCCTCGCCAGGCTGTCGCCGACTTACTTCCGGCCTTTGTGTGCCGCAGTCGACCGCGGCCCGGGGGGTCAGTTCTCTGAGCTCCTATCTGCGGGGCTGCACGGTGAGGCGTGGCTCTGAGGCCCCCAGGATGAAGGCGTGGGTTACCGGGTTACGCGATGCCAGTCTCGGCCTGTGGGGCCCAAGAAGGCCTGGCGGCCAGTTGCAGGCACCACGTCTCCCTACCCTCGCATTTTTGGTGTTGCCCTCCTTTTGTGCTCCCAGCCAGCCCGGGTGGACATACGGAGACTTGGGGCGGGAGCGGGAGTAGGTCCGAGGTTTGACCCCTCGTTCTGGCCTCCTTGGAGCCAGACTGGCAGCGGAGTTCAGGCCGTCCCCGCCCCCTCCCAAGTCTACAGAAACTCCTTTTGAAACGACCCTGTGGGAAATCCAGGTTGTTGAACCACAGAACACACGCTGGATCCCTTGGCTTTGCATGTTCTTTATTCTTCCACATGCACTTAATCAGCCGAGCGCTGGCCTGGGTGTAGGGGGAATAAACATCAGACTAGATTTTTGCATTTCCCGAGCTGGGCGCTCTAGCAAGGGAACTGACGTGTGTTGTCGATATAATGTGAGATACGACCGAGAGATGGAGAGATACCGATAAAGAGCTGCAGCGGCTGCGATCAAATCCTGAAGATTTTGCAAAGGGGGGTTGGGGCGGGGGTGGTATTCGAAGGAGAATAAAAATTGGATCTGTGGCACTGCCCTACCAGCCAAGGATATTCCGGATAGAGCTGGTGCAAAAGCCTAAAGGTGAAAGGGTGGGGAGAACTGCAGAGAGAGCAGTAAATATTTCAATACCATTCTGGTAAATGTTTATTCTGCACTGGGTAGTGGGGATTAATGAATGTGTGGCCACAAATCCCTGCTCTAGAGATTTCTTCTAAAAATAATGAAAGTGGTCCAAAGGTACAAACTTTCAGTTATAAGACATTCTGGAAATGTAACGTACAGCATGATGACTATAGTTAATATTGTGTTATGTGTTTGAAAGTTGTTAAGAGAGTGGATCTTAAAAGCCTGCATCACAAGAAAAAAAATTGTTAACTATGTGAGGTGATGGTGTTAAGTAATTGTGGTGGTCATTTCACAATATATACATATTATCAATCGTGTTGTACACCTGAAACTAATACAATACTATATGTCAATTCTATCTCAGTAAAACCGGGGGAATTTTTTTAAATAAAAGGGGAAGGTAGCTTGATGGAAGGGCTGTGAGGAAAGCTTGAGGCTATAGAGTTAGGGAGACATGGGCTAATACACAAAGATTAGGGACAAGTGTGCATAAGCCTTTCCAAAATAGAGCATGTGGCCACCGGAGCTTACGGGGAAAGAAGGGGCGAGTACTGTTCTGGATTGCCTCGCACCTTGCTGAGTTCAGCTTCATTGGTGTGCTTTGCTTGCAGGCGCCGGTGCTTTAGCAGCTCAAAACAGTAAACGGAGAAAACTTGTATATGAAACAATAGGGCTTCACTTTATACTAATACGGTTCCCCTGTTTACCGAGTGTGCATGAGCTTACTCACATTCCAGAAACACGGAGTCTAGGTAAACAGACTATCTGGTCACTGTTTTCTTCTGGTCCTTTTGTAATGCCTCAAGCTACATTTTTCTTAATTTCTCAGGAGGGGATGTGATGGATAATAATTATGGTTCTATTGCAGAGACTCACAATTATCAGAAATTGGGAAAGCATGTGGGGGGAAAAATGGGGTGGCGTGGATGAGATTGAAATATACACGATACAGGTAGTCCTCAAGTTACGAGGGTTCCGTTTACAGATGTTCTGTATGTACAGTGGCCGGATGCACCCTACCTCCTTCTTGCTCCACCCTCCCCCACGCCACCCCACCCCTAGAATCCACCACCCCTGAAGACGCTGACCAGAACCCAGGAGTTAAGGCGGAAGGACACGTGTGATGAGGCATCTCAGGGCAACCATGACTCACTGCCTTTTCCTGCCCCTCACTGCTTACCATTAAGTTATGCCGTCTCACACCCTTTCACAAGGCTGCACAAGCTCCCTCTTTACGTCCCTGCAACAGGCCCCTATCTTTCATCGTTTGCCTTTTACCTTAAAAGACACACTGTCCTTAACACAACATTGTAAATCAATTATACCTCAGTTAAAAAAAAAAAAAAAAAGCAACACTGTCCTTTATCCCCTCACCCTCTTCATACCATTTGTGAACTTAAAAATGACAATAATCACTGCTGATTTGACTCACAATAATCCAGAGATATAAGTGTATCAAGAAAAGAGAAGGCCATAAATATTAAAGTGAAATCACATGGGTGCCACCAGCACTTCAGTTATTTGAAAGCCCAGATACCTCACTCAGAATCCCCCCAGAAGTAATCTCTTTTTTCAGTAGTTCTCTAATCCTCGAAAACTAGCATGCAAACCAATATAGCATTTCTAACCCAATTTTATTGTTTTCCTTTTGTACGTCTATGCTAGGGTTTCTACTGATTTTCACTGCAGGTACACAGGGTTTTATCTACATGCTGTTTTACCTAAACTTTTGTGAGAGCATAACTGATGTCTACAGCACTACTTATTTGGGAAAATAAGCTCCAAATTCCCAAAAGCCAATCTATAACGGGACTATTGGAATATATTGTTATATGTTAGAGATAACCATTTACATGTTAGTGTTTTAGTCTTCGGATATTTATTTATTGTTGTAAATAATTTTTCTGCATTCAATCCACATTTATTGACCTTTTGCTAATATTTTCAGAAATAACACTTTTAATCATTCTGCATGGAAATCTTTCTAAAATTTATGACACCTGCCTGTGTGTGTATGATTTAACTCATTTTTCTCTGACTTGGTCAACATTATGAGTATCCTTTACACAATGACGCCCTCAGGGTTCTTTGCCCTACACAAAACGGTCTAATGTAACTTTCTTAGCTCCACTGCACATTTCTTTTTATTATTTTTATTTATTTATTTGCTTATTTATTTATTTATGGCTGCGTTGGGTCTTCGTTGCTGCACGCAGGCTTTCTCTAGTTGCGGCGAGCGGGGACTCCTCTTCGTTGCGGTGTGCGGGCTTCTCATTGCGGTGGCTTCTCTTGTTGCGGAGCGCGGGCTCTAGGCATGCGGGCTTCAGTCGTTGTGGCGCACGGGCTCAGTAGTTGTGGTGCACGGGCTCAGTAGTTGTGGCTCGCGGGCTCTAGAGCGCAGGCTCAGTAGTTGTGGCTCACGGGCTTAGGTGCTCCGCGACATGTGGGATCTTCCCGGACCAGGGCTCGAACCCGTGTCCCCTGCTTTGGCAGGCGGATTCTTAACCACTGCGCCACCAGGGAAGTCCTGTACATTTCTTTTAAAAGAAAAAGTAAACAGAAGTCTCATATACACAGATAATTTGCGCAGACAATTAAATATGAATCCTACTCTCATGGCAGTTATTATAATAGTCTGAAGCTTTTTAAGTTATTTCTAAATGACTCGAGAAGTCTGAATTTGTTTAAAATGGCATTCTTGGCACAATCCTTCCCATTCACCATTTTAAAGACATGGTTTAACACAAATGTTTACTTAGTTATGTTCAAAGAGGAACTCTAAGCCTGCTTAAGAATAAAAGCTCTATCCTTTGCTTGGGGCTTTGTCCTTGTTATTTCTACAGACTGCCGTGATATTTCTTATCCCATCTATGTAGTAAACTTATTTACAGGAGTGAAGTGATTCGTACACACTTGTTTTCCAATTTCCTTTAGGCAATGGATAGGAAAACATTATTTCCTGGATCCACTCTGTCCTGTCATCACTTATCCCTCCTGGTCCCACTTGGAATGTCAAAACACCCTCTTTCTGGGAGCAGGTCTGTAATCACAGTCTGTTCTCAACCACATGGTCCTGCTGCTGGGAGGGTAGGATGGGAAGTAAAACCACAGCAGGGATGAATCTCTTTCAAGGAAGTCCCCTTCTCAATGGCTCTATCTGTGGTAGAGCGTTGCCCAGTGACGAGAAACGCTACGCCACCAAAGGGTCCATCCCAGAGGACTAGACTGTGCTGAGCCTTGGTTTTGTCTGTTTTTAAGTGGAGACTTCAAACTCGCCCTCCCACCTTGCCTCCCACCTCAATGAAGAGTTGATGAGAAAGGACAGATGAAAGCACTGTGGAAACTACAGAACATTAACACATGTCACAGCCACAAGGCATTAAGCGTCTCTAGGAACCACCCATGGTACTAGATGCTTTGTAGCCGTGATAGGATCTTTTTTTTTTTCTTGAAGACTATAGAGTTTTTGTTTAACTGCATCGATCTTATATATATGTTTTCTTTGTCTCATGCTGAAAATCTCAGTTCTCAAAGAAATCAATATAATCATTCATTTACTTTATTCCATGTTACACAAAAACTATGGAACACTTCACGAATTTGCGTGTCATCCTTGCTCAGGGGCCATGCTAATCTTCTCTGTATCGTTCCAATTTAAGTATATGTCCTGCCGAAGCAAGCACAGGATCATTTTTAAAAGTCAGAACAGTTGCCAAAATGCATCAGCTGCAGAGTGGCAGAGGCTAGTCTGTTCAGGTTCAAAGCTCAGGCTCTTTTCACTAAAACCCTCCAGATATAGGCTCTTACTGTGCTCACACTTTAGAACAGGCCAAAAGCCATCTGGAAAACCCATGGGCTCTATGCATTAGGGAGAGTTTGGCTGCGCAATATTCAAAAGGAAAACTGAAGTGTTTAAGACAAGAGGGTAGTATGGTCTTGTGTTCTGGAGATAGCCAGAGATGCTGGAATATTCTGTACCCCAAATTTTGTCTTCTTCATATTATCATATAGATGCACAAATGACAACCGACATGGAAAAACAGAAGGACTTGATTGGTTTTTTTTGAAAACTGCTACACAACAACAGCAAAAAGAAGTTTTTCTTTGTTTAAGAAATGCAAAGGAGTCCTTTTCCACTGGGGCTAAAATGTTTTCTTTCGGTTTTGAGAACTGTTCAATTTATCACCTGAATACAGGCATGTGTTTTACTCTATAGAAAAATTCTGGAGCTCTCGCTTCCTGCCCCAGAAATGCCCGGCTGCTTCTCAGTCACGCGTTGGTGTCACCTTGGGACCATCCCCACCCCCCATATGTTGGATTTCCTGCTTCCGGATCCCCTTTCTCTCCTGATTATTCCTCCTTTTGGTGAAGCATACCCTTCTAGAAGCATCCTGAGATAGAGTGCCTGTTGGAGTTCATATTTTGAGACCTTGCATATCTGAAAATGTCTTTTTGCTCTCCTTTAAAAAAACTCTTTTTTTTAGTTTGGGCATAAAGTTCTAGTTTGGAAATTATTTTCCCATGGAATTTTGTCTCCTAACTTCTAATATTGCGATTGAGCCACCAAGGAACATTCTGATTCTTCGTCCTTTATATGAGAACTCGTTTTGATTTCTGGAAATCTTTAGGCTCAAAAATTTCACATCTATGGTTTGTTTCTTTCCCATTCATTTTGCTGAGTATTCAGTGGGCTGTGCATGTTCTCTATTTCTGAGGAATTATCTTAAATTCTTTTACTTACAATTTCCCCCACTTCATTTTCTCTGTTCTCTCCTTGCAAAATTCCTAAAAGTCAGATGTGGGACCTCCTGGGTTGCTTCTCTCATTTTCATTTTCCAGTCATTTTCTAAAATTTCTTTGTCTTTTTTGTTCTATTTGCTGTCCTATTTCCTTAACCTTCTCTTCTGTTGAAGTTTCCATTTTTGCTCCAATAATTTCCATTTCAAAGATACTCCTTTTGTTTTCTGAGTGTTCCTTTTATAGAGCACCCTGCAATTTCCTCTCATATCTCTGAGGACGTTAACAGCAGAGGTTCTTGTTCACGATTTTCTCCTGCTCCCTCCATTGCCATGGTTTCCTGGTCTTTCTCTTGTTGTGGCTGCTGTTATTTCATGGGCTAGAGATGACCTCAGTGTTTTTTACTTCTTCACAGCAGGCTCCAAGCCCACCAGTGCTAAATTCAAATCCTCACACATCCGACTGCTTTAAATATAGCCCAAAGAAGGGTATTTTTAGCCACCTGAGCCTGCCCACTTTGAAAAACTGCACCCAGCATCAGCTTACCTTAGATAAGACAAACCCTGGGGCCATGAAAGACCCCAAATCTGCTCTTGCCCTTCAGGGGTCTCTGACCTGGAAACTCCCCACCGCACTGCTGAGTGATGCCACGGAGACACAAAAGTCCCTTCTGTGATTCCACTCTCTCCTGGGAGTTCCCTTGCCCTGTTCCTGCTCTGGGTGCCACAGCTGCCCCTGTAAGGTCTCCTGCAGCTGTCTGTAAGGTCCTTTTCATGCAGTCCCGACCCAGTAGGCCTGTTCTGTGATCCTGACACATCATGGTCCCATCTCTTCCTTGATCAGCCCTGAAATTCTCCACCTCACCAGACGTAAAGATGGGGGCTTTGCTCACATGTCTTGGCCGTCCACTCACATGTCATCGTGGGACTCTGGAAGGTCCTGGCTGTGGGCAGGGCTTGTCCACCACGAGCTTCCCTCAACTCCCAACTGTCAGCATCTAGATCTCGTCTCTTGGTCAGTTTCTCCGGGGGAAAACCCTCTAGTCTCCCTCCTGAGGAGTCCAAGCCTGGCTGCCAGTACTCCAGATGCCCGGGGAGGAAAGGACCTGACCCTTGAAGGGCAGGGGGTGAAGGACAAGGCCACTCGTCCACTGTGGGTCTGGGAGCCTGCACCCCTCAGGCTACCAACTAGACCCAGCTGGATCGAGGCCACCAGGCGCAGCTGAGGTGTGGGTGCTGTACCAAAAACAAGGGGTTAAATAAATATCTACCTCCTGAATGAGACCCTCCTCCCAAGCCCCTGTCCCAGGCACATAGTTTTTCCTAGGACAGGAGATGGCAAACTTCTTCTGTAAAGGGCCAGACAGCAAATATTTTAGGCTTTGCAGGCCACGTGGTCGATGTTACAACTCTTCAACTCTGCCATCCTAGCGCAAAGGCAACTGTGTAAACGAAGAAGAGTGGCTACCTTCCAAAGTCGCTTTATTTATGGGCTGAAATTTGAATTTAATATAATTTTCACATGTCATGAAAATGATTCTTTTGATTTTTTTCCCAAGCATTTAAAAACATAAAATTCTATATATAAAATAGATAACCAACAAGGACCTACTGTACAGCACAGGGAACCCTACTCAATGTTCTGTAATAACATATATGGGAAAAGAATCTGAAAAAGAATGACTGTATGCATATGTATAACTGAATCACTTTGCTGTACACCTGAAACTAATACAACATTGCAAATCAACTATACTCCAACAAAATTTAAAAAAATAAAAATAAAAACATAAAATTCTTAGGTCGCTAGCTCTACAAAAAATGTATCAAGCTGCAGTTGGCCCAGTGGTGGAAGTTTGCCCATCCCAGTCCTGGAACATCGTGGTCGAGGGTTTATTGTCAAAGGCCTCTGAACCTCTCTTACTCCTTCCCTTAGCAATGCTCCCAGCGCTGATTTTTACCTGTAGGTATGAGGGTTACCGGTTCTCTCTCCCTCGTGCAGCCTCCAAGACGTGCCGTGGAAATGTAGACATTTATGAACTGCCTTGGAGTGGAAAAGGTGGTGACAGCGATTCCGAGAGTTCCTGCCAAGTTCTACCCCGGGTGGAACAAGTCGCTGATTGTTCTCTTTCCCTGGATTTTACCCAAGGTGATACAGGAATGCAGTGAGAGGAGATGTCTGGGGAGGGTGGGGCCCCTGAGACAGAGCCCTGACTCCCAGGCCTTGAGCTTATGAGTCAGAACCTCTGTCTCCGGCAAGAAAGATTGTTTTCCGTAGGCCAGGACCTTCTTAGCTCAGCTTCCAAGTTGTCAAGGAAAGAAATCCTCAGTTGTGGGGGCAAAATGGGGGTTTGGCAGAGAGAAGAGCTGCTTCTGCCACTTCTTTTTATTTTTCAGTTAATTTTTATTGGAGTGTAGTTGATTTACAAGGCTGTGTTAGTTTCAGGTGTGCAGCAAAGTGAATCAGTTATACATACACATAAATCCACTCTTTTTTAGATTCTTTTCCCATATAGGTCATTACAGAGTATTGAGTAGGGTTCCCTGTGCTCTACAGTAGGTCCTTATTAGTTATCTATTTTATATATAGCAGTGTGTTTATGTCAGTCCCAATCTTCCGATTCTTAACGTGCATTTTGGGGGCAAATCAGGTCTACCTGCTAAGCCTCAATTTCTTTATCTCTAAAATGGGGATAATCATTCCCTACCTCATTGGGTAGTTGTGTGGATTAATAAAATAACATACCCCCTAAAGTCCCCATCACATCAAAGGGGCTCAACAAATGGCAGAGAGTATAGTTTTAATTTATCTGGACAAGGAAACTCAGAGAGGTTAAGGCACCATCCAAAAGACACACAGCTCATTAAGGGTGGAGGCAGGAATAGAGTTTGTTTTCTCGACTCTCCAGCGGATATTCTTTCTTCTACACTGCACTGCTGGAAGAGGAGGTTTTAGTTCTTTTTCTTACCACACCTGAAATTCTACAGTAGGGAAGGTGTCAGGGATGAAGGATATCAGGTCTGTTCCCCCCCTTTTCTCACAGCCCGCTTGGTTTCTGCTGCAGGGGACAGACCCACTCCTCCCATGGCCAGACACTGGGCAAAGCAGACCTCTCTGCATCACACGGCACAGGGAGTATTGATGGGCAACACCTCTTCTCCCCCTCCCCTCTCCCTCCTCCCTGCAGCCACCCCCATCTCTACCACCACCCGCTTCCTGATTCAAGCTCCCTTCCTCTGGACAGTTACAAAGATTCTTTGTAATGTGTTTACACAGGGAGGAGTGAGAGCAGGGGCCTGGCTGTACTCAAACCACAGGGGCCCCCAGCCCTGTTTACAGAAAGAGAGAAGGAGAGCCAAGACAGATGACCCCGTTGCCTGGGGGCCCGGATTGAAAACAGAACCCAAGTCCAGAGCCCAAGGCTCCTCGTTTCCTGGGGTTCATCACACAGAAGCAGCACTGAGGCGCTGCTACCCAGGAGGCCTGTTTACTCGGCTGGGTGAGAGCTGTTTGCACAGGGAGGGAGGTGGCAGTGCCGTCTGGCTGTTCTCTGGCTGAGCGGGGAAGCGGGCGGGGGACCTTCGCAGGTCAGGCCCGTCTGTGTTCCAGGGCCTTGGGGAAGGCAGGCCCCTGACAACAGTCTTTTGGAGACGCTCTCGTCTCTTCTTTGAGAGTGCATCTGGCGGATTTGGAAAAAATTCTCAAAACAGTGCTAATTATTTTCCCCTTTAATTCATACCCACACCAAATAAATCATCTAGGACCTTTCAAAGTGGGGAGAAATGCCATTTTCAGCACTCAAGGAATGGTGATGTTTCACACACGAGGTACGGTTGACAAAGCATTGTCATTTCCACCGTTTCACGTGACCCTCAAGACAGCAAGGAGGTGGGTAGCTGCGGCCAAAGTCATCCCTGTTTTACCAATGAGGAGCTGACACTTAGAGAGTCAAGTCACTGGCATGAAACCACACACCCAACAAGAGGCAGAGGCCCAGTGATGGCAGGTTATGAGCTTTTTCTACTCCGTCCCCTGCCTCCCACTTGGCTGTAAAGTAAGGTGTGCGGAGACCTTGTTCCGATATGTTACGTCCTTCCAGTGGCTCCTGGGAGAGAGCCTTGCATCTCAGGGACCTAGCAGAAAGCAAAGGCGGTGTGAGCTGCAGGGCGCTGTGCCTGGACCACGGGATCTGTCCATGGGTACCGCCAATGGGGCATTCCCCAGGCACCAGACAGAGCCTTATGTGGACCAGCCGGGTGAGACGACACAGAACATACACACTCTTCTACCACCAGCGGAATCATGGCGGCAGGGGAACGTGCTGTAGGACCACCGAAGCTTTCCTCCAAGTTCATTTCTCCCTGTCTCCTCTTGGGCTTCTCCCCGTGCATTCGAACCTGTGCGTGTCTACCTGAAGCTGTTACCTGAGTTCCATCTCTGTCCCTCAAGTCCAGCTGCACTGCTCCATCCAAATTGCTTTGACCTGTGAGGTCAGCTGGAACTTCTCAGCTCTGCTCCCGTCCCCACTTAGCCCAGCTCCAGCACCTGACTCAGCACCTGGCCGGCCTCACTTCCTGGTCTTTCCCGTCGCTGTCAAATCCTGTCTCCCCTCTTTTCTCACCAATCCATCCTTCAGGGACCACTTTCTTGTGACAACTAATGTGCTACCATGTCTTACAGCTTGCAAAGTCCATTTGCCTACATGCATATAGACAAACATTCATACCGACTCACATTTAAGAGTTAGCTTCTCCTCCCTGCTGGATCTCTATTCATCCCCTGCCTAAACTACCAATACTGGGTTGTTATATATATATTTTTAATATTTATTTATTTGTTTGGCTGTGCCGGGTCTTAGTTGCGACCTGTGGGATCTAGTTCCCTGACCAGGGATCGAACCCGGGCCCTCTGCGTCGGGAGTGTACAGTCTTAACCACTGGACCACCAGGGGAGTCCCTCTAACACTGGTTGTTTGTGAGTTGTTGTTGTTGTTTTTTGTCTTTGCCTTCAATGCACCTGAGTTCTGCCGCCATTTTTCTTTTAACCGACCTACGTTAAGATCTTCACTACCTTCCAGATAAATTGCTCCTTATACACTTTCAAGCATCCTTCCTAATGTGAAGATCTCACTTCCTTTCCTCCAAAAATTCTAAATAGCCCCCTCCTGTCTCTTTCTTCTCTCTCAACATTCAGAGCCTGTCATCGATTGTTAAAATGTGACTCCTGAAACCAGCAACTTTAAGGGTCAGGTGGCCATGAATGACAGTTCACCCCATGGCCAGCCACCCCGTGCTGCCTGGGTGTGTTTGCACATCCACACCTTGCTTCTACCCTGCCGGCTCCTTGCAGCAGTGACAGTCCTTTTCCTTTATAAACTACACAGATGTTTAGAGGAAGCTCTGGGTTAGTTCATCTGCTCTCTGGGTTCTATCCCGACTCAGACACGCCCTGTGTTCTATTACCTATAGGTTTGGCATTATACCGAAGGCAATCTGGGGGAGGCATCGTGAGAGGTGACTCCCGCTTGCCTGTGATTGAAACTCTGACGATCAGAGAAGTCCTAGGAACATGTCCTAAAGTTGAGTCCTAGAATTTCATAGAGGGGCATGCAAAGCCCTGTGCCAGCCCTAAATGGACCAGAGTTCTAGATAAATCCTAAACCAGGACTTCAGGCACAGGGACAAGTCAGGATTCCAGACATGGGAACTCAGATTCAAGGAGACCTGGTCTTTGGAACAAAACAGAAATTCAGGTCATAGAACTGGTGCCCAAGAGCAACCAGAGTGACCTTGTGCTGAGACCTAAGGGTCAGCTGGGTCCCCTCACATCTTCCCCTGATATGAATGGGCCTGCAAACAAGGGGGCAGCTCACCTATGAAAGGACCACCAGTGGTCCCAGCTCGGCAGAACCAAGCAGGACTTCACTTCCTCCTCCTTCTGGGTCACCTCACTGCAGTCCAGCCACTGTTCCTTCTCATTTCTGCATTTAAAACTTAAGACTAACTCAAAAATATATGCACCCCATGTCTATTGCAGCATTATTTACAATAACCAAGATATAGAAACAACCTAAGTGTCCATCAATGGGTAAGTGGATAAGGAAAATGTGGTATCGGACTTCCCTGGTGGCACAGTGTTTAGGAATCCACCTGCCAATGCAGGGGACACAGGATAGAGCCCTGGTCCAGGAAGATCTCCCATGCCGCGGAGCAACTAAGCCCATGAGCCACAACTACTGAGCCCACGTGCCACAACTACTGAAGCCGCGCACATAGAGCCCATGCTCCGCAACAAGAGAAGCCACCGCAATGAGAAGCCTGCGCACCGCAACGAAGAGTAGCCCTCGCTCGCTGCAACTAGAGAAAGCCTGCGCGCAGCAATGAAGACCCAATGCGGCCTAAATAAATAAATAAATAGAAAAATGGTACAGATGAACCGGTTTGCAGGGCAGAAATAGAGACACAGATGTAGGGAACAAACGTATGGACACCAAGGGGGGAAAGCGGTGGGGGGTGGGGGTGGTGGTGGTGTTGTGATGAATTGGGATATTGGGATTGACATGTATACACTAATATGGATAAAATAGATAACGAATAAGAGCCTGCTGTAAAAAAATAAAATAAAATTTTTAAAAAGACGTAAAATATTAATGAAGTATTTAGCGTAGTTGACATGGACATATACTAGATTGGTTGATTTGTTTTTTCTTATTTTCCCATGTCTATTTCGTTCTTAGTAGTGTGTAAATATGTAGCCCATTTGCAGTGTTCTCTTACAATAGTAAGATAGTGATTGTCATGAGGCTCCAATGAAATGTACCACCACCCTACCCCACCCCTTTGCAATCTATATATATAAGTGCATATCCCTAGAATGACTATTGGCATTGTCAGCTCAACTCTGAATTGCTTGTCTACGTGAGGTCTCTGAGAGGCCAGTGTGTCCCCTGAAAGTGGTAGGTTACTATTTCAGTCACCAAGATTACAAGTGGTGGTTCATATAGGAAATGAGACCACCAGGAGATTGACTTCAAGCAGATAGGAGAGGAAATTACTTTTCCAGCCCTTATCCTCTGAGGTTTGAACTTTGAATTGCTTGCTAGTACTGCAAGAGAAGAAAGGTGACTTCTA